AAAAGAAATCTCATTCTAAACAAATAAAGTGTCAGTGTCAAGATAAATACGGTCCAAATGTCGGCAACAGTTTTTAAAATGTCGAGAACGCCATGAAATATTAAGAATAACAACTATTAAACACAACTTATCAACAAAAAAATATTTCAAAGAAAAATTACCTTCTACTGAGAATTGTGGAAAGCATAATCGATAGCAAATTTGGAGAGATTAAATTTTTCGAAATGAAATTATATGATTTTCTTATAAATTGGAAGCATATAATTATTTTTTAGTGTTAATGATTTTTCTACTTCTTCTTCATTTTTTCCCAAAATGTTTTGTCGTTACCTAATAGATAATAAAAGTAAATGAATCGATGAGGTAATAACTAGTATTAATGTAGATTCTCATGTAAGTTACTTGTTCTTCTCGAAATTCGTGACAAATTAAAAAAAATTGCTTCAATTTTTATTGAGGGTATAACAGACAAGTTGGTACCAAATTTGGCAAGTCTGTAAAAATTATCAAAATTAAGGGGTTGTCTGGCAGCACTTTTTGCCACAATTGATAGTAATATTCAGACCGTTGCGAAAGTAAATTGTGAGAGAAAAGTCAAAATTTACGGCTACCAACGGGAAGAAAAACACTGTCAACGGTTAGAAAAATACTTAAAATATGGGGAAAAAGCACAAACAAACAGGCCCTAAACATTTTTCAATTGACATGCATGAAATTGGCCACTTTCGTGAATTCCCCCAACAAATTCATATATTGAGCAATAGAAGGACGATGGTACCAATATAGAGAATAACAGAGGATACGAAGTCCCATCCTTTGATGGAAATATCAAATCATGTCATGTGATGGATGTTGATTTTTTAAATTTTAATATGTTTTTTTTATATAGTAAAAATATAACTTTTGGCGCAAATCTGACCGCTGCCTTTTGTGCATTTTTGTCCTTGACCTTTAATTTTTGATGTAGACACTCCGAACCTATGAATTTACGTTCCCAATTAGTCCTTTTGGACAAATTTCGTTTGATAAATTAAGTTAGTTTTGCTCGTGAATTTCAACTTCAATTTATTACAAGGACATAAAAGGGAGTGAGTAGTTGTTGGAGTACTAAGGGCAAATTAGTAAGAGTCTTGTTTTGATGGGAGAAATTATATTATCACTATAAATTTTATAAAGTGCACTGCATTTTTCTTATTTACTTAAATAACTTTAAGTAAAATTACATAATTAGAGTTTTGGGTTAATGAACCATTACTATGTACTCAATTTATTAAAATGATTTCGGGGTTAATGAATCTCTGGTATTCAACTATTCAAGTGGGTATACAATGGTAAACATTATTTCATTTGTAGTGTATCTGGCCATTGCAGTGGTGGAATGAAATTTCAAGTCAACATTGCAGCCATATTTTGAGGTGGAGCAACCACGACGACATGGTCAAAAAACCACTACTTCTCCATCATAAAGCACTACAGTTTCACCGGCAACTCCTAATACTATAACGACATCCGCTGCAAGCACTATTTCTCAATGGGGGTTTATCTTCCCCCCTTCTTCTTTATCTCTCTTCTTTGAAAATTTGGAAAAAAAAATGAAGAAAAAAATAGTTTAGAAACTCTTTTCATCATAATGAAAATTTTCAGAATGAGTTGAAAGGATGAGAAAAACAAAGAGTAACATTTGGATAATGAGTACACTACACTACAATACTTTATTATTATTATTATTGGATTAGGAATATATTTGTAAATTTAGTGTGGTATATTTATTAAAAATATTTTTTAATTGTGGTATGATTATAACGTGGTGTAGTAAGTAAATTTTGTAATAGTAATATAATTATCTTTAGTGGGTCAGTAAGGCTTTAGTTTTTTCCTTTCCAAATTTGCCCTTGCAATAAAATGAAGTAGAAAGCTACTAACAGAATAAACAGAATAATTGGATGAAATATGTTCAAAAGCACAATTTGGGCACCTGAAGGCATAGGTGTGGAGCATTTTTTTTCTGTTAAAAATTAAAGGTTAGAGATATAAATGCACGAAGGGCAAAGGTTAAGGACCATTTGCACCAAAATTCCTAAAAAATAAGAAAAAGATAAAAGCCTCTGGACAATAATTTTAAATATTTTCATTAACTACCCCACAATGCATTCAATGTTTTGTATGTATATTGCCTCAGAACGTGAAGAGGAACCCTACCCAATAGTCACCACCCTCTCACTCTCTTACTCTTGAATAAAGTTACAGTCTTATTGATTGGTGTTGCTGAATTGTAGTGTGGTCCTAACTCCACAGTGAGAGGAGCGCATGTCGGCTGAACTGTAAAATAAACAAGATTTTAAGCTTATTTTTGCTTCGTAAGGTCGATTTCTTCTATCATTTTCCATGTATTCCTCCGTCTCCGAGGCAGTGAGAATCCCTTCATGCTTTTCCACAGCTTTCTTGAACTTCTTCTGTCATTTCAAGAATTGTAAAGAAGCTCAAGAATGCTGTGGGAAGACATGGCAATTAAGGATTTTTGAGATTTTCCAGGTAACTCTCTCCCAATCCCTTGTGTAAACGATCTCTCTGGTCTGAATTTAAGCTGTAAACTTACTTACAAGAATTTTTTTAAAAGCTTAGCCAAAAGTGAACACTAATTTTGCATAATCATCAGAGTTTTTTGGTGTCACATCACAGACTCCAAGACACAATGCTTATATATATTGCAACCAATTTTATCGGTCGAACCAAAGCATTGACTGCACTCTTCTTGAAATCAACAACTAACGTTCACTTTTAATTGATTTCAGCACGGCTCAATTGATAAAACGAATAATGATATCGCGATTTAAGAAGACATAATTACTTATTCTAATTCGTGCTTCATATCTAGTCTCAACATATATTGTTGTATTAACAGCTCGAGCATTGACTATTAGTTGTTGGGTTTAGGTCCTTAGGACGCCGAACAAGGTTGAAATAAAAAAAGTTTGTATAGAATTGATTATCAAGATTTGAGTTTATATAGTGATATAGATAGCGCGTTTATCTTTTAACCAAAAAACGTTTTCTAATATTGATTAAGTCCATGTTTGAGTCCCATTTTTCAAAAAAAAAAAAAAAATTTCTCCCAAACTCATTTTCAACTACATATTTTCCTTATAAAATAATTTTGCACCTAAATTGAAAATGAGTTTTATAATAATAATAATTTTATAGAGAATGTGTGATTCAAAAGTAAGCCATCAAGCTACGAGGAATTTCAGCCAAATCTTAGACGGAAGGCTAATTTGGTGACTGGATTGGAATTGTTTAGAAGTAAGGTGACTAATTTGAAATTATTTAAAGTTTGGTGACCAACATGAAATTTAGAGAAAAGTTCAACGGCCATTTGTCTTATTTTATCCGCCCATTCACTGGTAAAACTGCACAGAACAACAAACTAGAAGGATTTAGAAGCAAAAATATCTTGAATCTAGTTAGGGTAAAAACTAACCTCTTGACTTTGATACAAGCTCAAGTCTCCGTAAAACATGGTCGATGACGGTGCTTTTTCTCCGGCCGGAGAGGGCTCATCGGGGACCATCGGCATCCAATTAACTGTAAGTGATTTTTAATTTCCCCAATTTCATGCCGTTTCACTACAATTATTCAACCACCTGATTGAGTTCAGCTACACTCCCGTACTGCACATATTTTAGGGCCCTTTTTCTTCCAGTATTTTTCTGCTTAAAAAGTTATCATTTTTTTCCTGTGAAAATTAGGTTACGAAATTTTGTTTCTGGAGTTGTTGATAAAGCATATTAAGAGGTGTTGAATTAAATTGGAAAAAAAAAAACAGAATTATGGTGCTTCAGGCCTTATTGTGATGGCGTGATGACATTCAAATTTTACCTTCGTATTTTATTTTATTTTTTAAAATTATTGCACTATCACGCAGTGATTGATATGAGCACCCCGTGTGATGAGGATATACTCTCTTATGCATTTTGATTCAATATATCAGCCAGATTTTACTGGAGCATGGGAATTTATTTTAAATAATTTTTTTCTGAGAGATTTTCATTTATGTAATTATCTATATTGATTGATGATAGGGCATACAATTTAATCTTTGAAATGAGATGCTAAAGTGGATTCGGTAGAAATCTTGATCGTTAAAATTGCATTAGAGAGAAGTAGATCAGGTTCTATACTTCTATTTTCACCTTTAGAGTTCTAAATTTAGACTGCTACTGGTGTTATGGAATTAGCATCTAGTAAAACTATGCTATCGTTCTTGCTTTCATGTGCATTAATTTTCTCTTTATGAAAAAAATGACTTGTTTGGGTGGTTTGATTTATCACAGTCTTTGGCAATTGTAAGTGTTTTTGAGTTTCATCCCTTTTATTTCACTCTAGATGGAAGGAGGTTCTGGAAATAGAGGAGAACTGCTTGAGGATGATGACGAGGAAGAGTTTGAGATGGAAACTGATGATCTCGATGATGAAAGTGACCAAGTTCTCGGAATCAAAAGCAATGGCCTTGAGAATGTTACTGAACTAGTTCCGGGAGTCGAAAGAAATGACCTTGAGAATGATGGTGAACAAGTACTTGATATTGACAGTGCTGACCTTGAGAATGACAGTGAGCAGGTGCTTGAATTTGAAAGCAACGAGCATGAGAGCAATAGCGACCAATTGCTTGAGATTCCAAGCAACTACCATGACAGTAACAGTGACCAAATGCTTGAGATTCCTGGCAAAGAGTATGAGAATGACAAAGATGCTCATATTGCTAACGTTGATGACCAAATTGATGGGTCGAAGGGAAAGTTTTATCTCCCTCCTGTTGTGGGAATGGAGTTTGAATCATATGATGATGCTTATAACTATTACAACAGCTATGCCAAGGAGGTTGGATTTGGCATCAGGGTCAAATCTTCTTGGACCAAGCGTAACAGCAAAGAGAAGCGTGGTGCAGTGCTCTGTTGCAATTGTGAGGGTTTCAAAACAATGAAAGAAGCAAACGCTCGAAGAAAGGAAACTAGGACTGGATGCCTAGCAATGATAAGGTTGAGGTTGGTGGAGTCCAACAGATGGAGGTTGGATGAAGTTAAACTTGAACATAACCATTTATTTGATCCAGAAAGGGCTCAAAACTCCAAATCACATAAGAAGATTGATTCAGGAGCCAAAAGGAAGTTGGAGTCAGCTGTTGATGTAGAAGTGCGAACAATCAAATTATATCGAACTCCTGCTATTGATGCAGTGGGTTATGGAAGCTCGAATGAAAGGGAAATCAGCAATCATATTGAGCAGTCTAAACGCTTAAAACTTGGGAAAGGTGATGTACGAGCCCTTTACAACTATTTTAACCGAGTGCAGCTTGCAGACCCTAATTTTTTCTACATTTTGGATCTAAATGATGAAGGATATGTAAGGAATGTGTTTTGGATTGATTCTAGGTCAAGGGCTGCCTATGGTTATTTTGGCGATGTGATTGTAGTTGACACGACGTGCTTATCTAATAATTATGAAACTCCAGTTTTGGCATTCACTGGAGTAAATCACCATGGTCAATCTGTTTTGATGGGTTGTGCTTTGCTTGTGGATGAAACCATGGAGACGTACGTTTGGTTGCTGAGAGCATGGCTTACATCTATGTCAGGACGTCCTCCGCAAACTATAATTACAGACCACTGCAAGGCCTTGCAGAGTGCAATAGCTGAGGTTTTTCCTAGGGCTCACCATCGTCTTTGTCTGCCCCTTGTTATAAAGAGAATTCATGAAAAGTTGGGAGAAGTTGGGAAGTCGGAAATGTTTCATACAGTACTGAACAGAATGGTGCACAACTCAACAAAAGTTGAAGAATTTGAAATTGCTTGGGAGGAGATGATCGAGCATTTTGCTATCGGGGATCATGAGTGGCTTCAAAGCTTGTATGAGGACCGAGAGCGGTGGGTTCCAGTTTATTTGAAAGATACGTTTTTTGCTGGAACGTTCTCTTCTCAACCTGATGAGCGCATGAGCTATTTTCCCCATGGATGTGCACATAAACAAACAACTTGGAATGAGTTTTTTGATATGTATGAGTCCTTCCAACAAAAAAGCTTTCAGAAGGAAACTCTTGATGATATTGAGTCAAGAGAGTTTACCCCCGAGTTGAGAACAAGGTGCAATTATGAATTACAGCTTTCTGAGGTATATACCAAGGACATATTCTTAAAGTTCCAAGATGAAGTGGAGCGGATGTCTAACTGTTTTAGTGTGACTCAGATTCATGCTAACCAGCCGGTCATCACCTATATAGTCAAAGAACAAGATCCCAAGGGAGATTCAAGAAACTTTGAAGTTATTTATGATAAAGTAGGAGCCGAGGTGCGCTGTATTTGCAGTTGCTTCAATTTCAGAGGATATCTGTGTCGACATGCATTGTGCGTCCTTAACTACAACGCGGTGGATGAAGTCCCAAGTCATTACATCTTATCGCGATGGAGGAAGGATTTGAAACGCTTGTATGCACCAGATCTAGGTTCCAACAATATCGATATCACAAACCCTGTTCAATGGTTTGATCACTTGCATAGACGTGCAGTGCAAGTTGTAGCAGAGGGAATGACGTCTCAAGATCATCATATGGTTGCTTGGCAAGCATTCAAGGAGTCACTTAATAAGGTACGACTTGTTGCAGACAAACATGTATAATATACTAAACAGGTGTACAAATTCAGAAATATTGAATTATTCGAGTCACATATTAGTTTAGACATTTTACTGTACAGCAAGAGTGGAATATTCTTTTCTATGCTTCTTGTTTAAATATTGTAACAAATAAATAGTTTATTTGTAAGTGGGTTAACGAGTCTATTTTCTAGGAAGTGGATAATGTATGTCATGCCTCTATTTAATGAGTGCAAAATAATAGAATGATGTGAAGAAATTAATTTGCATTTTATGCTTTTGGAGGCTTCATTTCCTCGAAAACTTAATTTAGAGCTCAAGTTTCCATCTATGGAGCCTACTATGATTATTTATATCGTTATTTCTAATTGAACACGCCGTATCCATATCGTATAATTTTATGTATAATGTATCAACGCCCTGTTTAATTTTTTAAATTTATAATTATATGAAATTTGTTTTATTATTCATTTATTGATTAATGTTAATTTCGATCAACTTAGCGCTAAATAGCCAGGAATTTCATTTCTCAACCGGGTTGGAACAGCCTTCCAGGTAGGCATCCACGACATCCTATCAGGCTCTCCTTGGTTGAAAACACACAAATTCTTCCCCAACGTGTCAGCCATTCTTCTCCCATTGAATTTTGACTAAACCATCTAGTTTCCTTTGTTTATTGCGGGGCATATCTCATTTTTTGTGATTTATTTAAAGGTTCATCAGTTGTTAAAAACGAAGGGCTGTCTTGAAACAGATTTTATTTGTGAAATATGCTTTTAAAGATGTAAACATCACTCGGAATTTTAAGAGAAAGTTACTCGAAGATTGAAATTCGAAGGCTCAACTACTAAAGTGACTTTTGTTTTCCTGACTAATTTATTTTGCACTTCTTTTTCTCTTCGATGTAACGAAAATGGATGACCCTAAAAGTCAACATTTAGTTTTCACTTGAATTCGGATATGTCACCATCTAATAAAGCAAAATCTTAGTTATAATGTTGAAAAAAAAATGACTTTATGGTGACGAGGGAAAACGTATATAAATGCTGTTTTAAAAAGTGGGAGAAAACCAGCTTTTTTGCGTCAACTCCAAGGTATAGTTCCCTTACAAAGAAGCTACGTTTTCGTCCTTTGACCGGGACTCCTCCTTCAATTCCTTGCAAATAAAAACAACATTTAAAAAATAAATAAAAAAAAAATATATATATATATATACGACATGTACGAGGGAGGTGTAAACCCTTATGTATACCTTAAAGTGGACAAGTATAATTTTCCTTAAAATTACTATGATATAGTGACTTGCAAAATGCAGTGTCTTGGTGACATAGATGAATTTTCTAATCCATACAAAATATGCGTGGGATTAAATTAGGTGGACAGATTATTTTAGGGTAACCTGTAAAATGTCACAGGGTTGGGCCATCAATGGCGGTCAGGTTTAATTTCAAGTCATGGGTACAAATGCATGGATGAAAAAAATACAAGAGTAGGTCCAAAGTCTATAGATAAGGTTTAATTTGGTGAGTGTTCATGTCCTTTTCTTGCAAGACTTTCCTATCATCTTACTTACACCCCATGGAATTCTTTTGTCAAAAGTGAATTCCAATTCTTCAATCTTTTTTTGACTTACAATGCCCTCATTTTTCTTTCAGTACCTTTCTTATTGGTGTATAAGACTAGTGGAGGTTGCACCTCGGTTCGCACGTATTTAAAACCCATGTGCTTTGTAATAAATGACTGATAACGTCAACACGTGTTATAGGTTCGAGTAACTAATGTCAACATGGTTATAGGTTTAGGCATCTGACATCAAAATGCATTACAAGACTTGACGTTTAAGACTAAGAGAAATGCTATTCATCCACACTGGGGATGCATCTCCAGTCTATGTGGCGTTAATGTGGCATTAAATGATAGGTGAAATTAAATAAGTCATCTAATTTCACCTATCATTTAACCAATCATTTACATCCACATAGACTGGGGATGCATCCCCATTGGGGATGAATAACATTTTTCTTTTTTAAATTATCTTTTCTAATTTCCTTTTCTAGTTGTAATAAGTTTATTCTTAAATCTACTGGGGATGAATAGCATTTTTCACACTAATGATGGATGCATCATTTCCCATATGCGTTGAAAACTCGTGTATTTAATAATAAATAACTTACATATAGCATCACACGCATTATAAGTATAAATATCCTTACGAACATATAGATGCATTAGTTTTATCGCATTTTTTGGCATTCAAGACTCATTAAGAATGCACATTGTCTCCTACGCTCTCAAAACTCGCTCATTTAAATATTTGATAATAAAATAAGGAGCATCGTCTACGTTATAAGTAGAAATATCATTATGAACATAGATACATTAGTCATTGCAACCATATATTTTATGCATATCTAAAACCCGTGTATTTAATAAAAAATTATCAGTGTCATCAACACACGTTATAAATGCAACTATCCTTATAAGCATGTATACATTAATCTCGTCCCATATTGTATCTTTCCCCATTCATATCTAAAACTCGTATATCTAATAATATTAACGAGCAATATCCTATGTGCAACACAAGTACATTGGTTTTATTGCATTGCCATTTAGCTAGATTTGAAACATTTATTGCAGTTGCAGGGTAAAAAATTGTTGACAAGCCAGGGTACTTGAAACTTTGATGATCAGTGCACGTAAATGTTTCGTTGATTTTCAATCTTCAAGTCAGGTTCATTAAAGATCCAAATCTTTTGAAAGAATTTGAAAAAATCACAATTGGGACTTTTTCGTGCTTCGTGACCTTTTTTTGGATCGTAATATTGCTGAATTTCACGATACAACTCTCATCATATTCGGCGTAAACTCTTTCAAGCTAACCGTAGTCTGCTCCTTTTCTTTATTGAGCGAAAGTGAAGAAACAAGACGCGAAAAAGTAGCTTAAAAGCTTAATCGATTGACGAAAAGTTATTTGTAAGTACTTTTTCAAAATCAAGACTCTTCTTGACACTACTATTTCATTAAAACCAACCAAAAAACTTCAATAAAGTTCTTGACATAGATATTTTATACACTTATAGCTAGTACAGAAATTATACATTAAAATGTTAAAGCCAATAATCCAAAGGGGAAAAAAAGCGATTATAACTAAAAAAGAGGAAATGAGTTATTTTCTCCAGGTGATTGAACTGGAAACAATGGCAGAAGCTCCGGCGGTTCAGCTCCTCTCGGAGTGCTCAATGGACTTGGGTGGAAGTAAAACCCTTTCTCAGCAATGGCTTTTTCTTCTTCCTCCATAGGTGACCTCGGCGTTCTTGGACTCCCACGCGCAAAAAGCTCCAATTGCGAAACCGGCGAAGCCATTACCATTTCACCATTAAATCCCAAAAGATTCCTCTGCTGATGCCTTGTAGTAGAAGGCGAAACCATTGAGAGGGAACTGGCGCCGCTTCCGAGCTTGATTTCTAGCTTTCTTGCAGTTTGTCTCCTTTCATGCAGTTTAAAGGCGGGTTTCCTAGGACCCATTTCTCCCGTGATGGGTTTTCCGGCGAGGCAGGAGGGGGTGGCGGCTGGGGGCTTGTGGGTTGCGGAGTCTAGAGTCGTAGTACCGGTGAGTTTTTGAACGACGGCTCGGAATGTTGAAGGGTCGGCTTGAACAAAAGTGGTGTTGGGTATTGAGTTTGGATCGAATCCGTTTGGAAATGCAACAAATTGTACGTCGGAGTCGGGATTTTTTTGAACATTGGGACTATAAGAAGAAGAAGAAGAAGCCATTTGAAAGGATGAGATGACAACGAACCCAAGCTGAAAAGAAAAGCCAGAAAAGTGGTATCAAATGAGTTGTTTATGTAGAGAGAAATGAGAGAGAAATGTTCATCGAGGGCGGTAAATAAAATTTAGGGAGGTACAAATTGATCCAATCAATTCGTTCCTTAAAAAAAATAAAAATTAATGATTTTGATTCTTAGAATCGAGAACCATTTGATTCTAGTTTTGGTTTCAGTTCTAGAATCAAGATTCAAGCTCAATTTATATAAATTTTCTATATACACATTTTTTTTTACAAATCAGTAAATCACGACGACTCTTTTTTTTACATTAGTGAATCGTTGATAAGACAATATTTTGTATAGGGATGGAACTAGATGTTTGAGTATTCAAATTATTACTAATGTTTTGCTTGTTAGTTTGGACTTTTGTGAATGAATTTTATTACACAATATTTCATTTGATATTGATAATTTGAAGTTTTGATTTTTTAAAAATTTATTTAGGCATATATTACTATAGATTTTAATTTACGTTTATCATTTAAAAATTAGAGTAATGGAATCAAAACCAAACCAGAACCAAATGATTCGATTTCCTTTTTGTTCCATATTTTAAAAAAAAATTTATCGTTTTCATTATTAAAAAAAGAAGAAGAAGAAGAAATAATTGGCTCATGGCTCAATTCTCTTGGAACAAGAACCAAATGGAACCATGTTCATCATTGATAAAAATGTTAGATAGCCCCAGAGTTTTACCTAAGTAAAACACGTAAATAGTGAATATACAGTTTTATTGTTTCCACTCCACCTTGGCTAATTCCACACGAATTGAAATGGGGGTACTAGTAGAGGTGGCAATCGAGCCACACGGCTAGGTACTAGTATGATTTCCCATCTCGATGCAAAAGGCTATTTTCCTCTTGGATTGGTTGTTTGAGATGATGGATTCGAACTCTCAACGCCGTGATTTTCTAAGCTACAAGCCTACTCCGTCTTCACTTGATTGGTTCTCGAGGGAAAACTTTTCACTCTCCAATCATTACATTTCGAGATAAGATGATTTGAAAGCGTGCTTCCTGGGATATATATGGCAATGACTATCGTATATCCTTCTTTTAACATGCATCTTAGTTTGATTAAAAAATATATTTAGCCCCTATTTTGTTTAGATAATAATTATAATTTTAATAAATTTTGATGAAATATGTGGTTGTGGGTTCCGTGAAATGAATAGTTAAAATTAACTGTTGAGTTTAACTTAATTTTAATCATTTTTTAAATTGAACCAAACAATTACTTTTTTCAGTGTTAATTAAATTTATCAGTGCAAGTGCAATTGTCTTTTTATTAAATTCTCTCGTCATGCGCACTGTCGGACAAAATATATAAACATTTTGTTAAACGTGAATAAAATTTATACGAACATAAAAATGGAGAAAAAAATAACATTTGGGTCACAATTTTTATAATTCGTAAAAGGAGTTTTGCTATGGTTACCGAGGGGTAAAAAGGTGGGCCCCCCACAGCTGTGAGGGGCCGGTCAGGGGGGTTGTCAACCCCCCCTGGTACATTTATCATTGCCGAATAATATTACACATAAACATAAAAATTCTCCTTACTTTTTAATTACACATTTTTCCATCAATCACTATTCCAAATCAAATTCTTCTCCAAAATGGGTGTCAAACACTTAAGATACTGACCTTTTTCTTTTGGATATAAAGGATAGACTAAACCCTTGTTTGGCGTAGATTAATTATAATTACATATTTTATGGAATATACAATTTTTTCAACCTCATATTTTATCAACTTTTATTAAAAATATAATTTTAATCTAAACCAAACATGGGCTAAATCAATTGGTCAAAACTTGTTATATATTTATTTGGTTTCAATGAGGATTAAGAGTAAAATAAATTCTCTTATACTTTTAGATAAGATTAAGACATCAACCATATTTATCTATAATCTTATAGGGACGTTTTGTGCAATAAAGACAAACGTTAGGAATATTTTGCATCATTTACTCTCATTTGACGAAAGGAATTGACGGAAATGACCAACTCCGCAATAAAAGATTAAAATGAGGATGTAAATACCAAATTTGAAATGACATTCATGATTTGCGTAATGAACGCAAATGTTGGGGACGTTTTATGCTAATTATACTTATAAAATGATTGTAGATTTTTATTAACCACTATTTTTTTTTTTTTATAAACAAGGAGTTAATTAAATCAATGCTAATTTACCATTACTTGCTCACTGAACTTAAAAAGGGTTAACCATTACTCACTTATCTATGCAAACGTTTACCCATCCATCACTCCCTTTTATCCACAATTGACGAAAAACTCTAAAAGCTGATGTGGCATTGGCGACGTTAATTTGTCCACTCGAATTAAAAATGCATTCAACTAAAAGTCTAAAACGACAACTTCTAAATAATTTGTGAAACAAACTTCAAAATCTTAAAATAAAAAATCCCCAAATTAAAAACTAAATCGCCCAAATCAAAACTTCGAAAGATAAACCCTAACCCTTACCCAAAATTCAATAATAAATTTTTCCATTTTCTATTTGCACAAGGTTTGGAATTTTCTTTCTTTTTTAATTCAAAATAATGATTTTTTATTTTGTATTTATATTTATTTCGGCGAAATAGACGAACTCGAAAAATAATGAAATCTAGCAAGAAAAGATTTTCTCTCCATAGAATCACTTTTCAAAATACGCTGAAGAAAAATTCTGATGAAATGATAATAAAGTGGAAAATAGTCCAAGTGATTGTCTATTGACATGCAAATATAATACAATCCAGCACCATACAATGTGGATTCCATTCAGTCTATTTAAGGTCATAAAATGTCCCCAGGTTCATCTGACTAAACTCACCTTGTACAAAATACTCTGTAGTTCTTCTTTATCCTTGCTTTCATCATCATCAATGTGGATTCTGTTCAGTTGGTGAACCGGGAACAAAAGGAACGAACCCTCGTCCACCAAACACTGGTCGCATGAACGCGTCATCGAACTTACGCCAGCAGCGATGCACAGTGTGAGTAGGTGTTGTTAAAAGCATGCGTAGACTAGTAGGTGGATGTTCGTCACTCAAATCAGCTTCAGAGTCCTGTTGATGCCCGAGAAGCGGTACCCTCACTGACCTTGGAGTATTAGAACTGGACGACGCAGTGCTGCTCGACTGTTTTGGATGTGGTAGCAGAAGTCTTATAAGAGGCTGTGTCATTAGACCACATACCTATAGATGACAAAAGAAAGTGAGTGTCTACTGCTCGACTGCT